AGTCATGTATAGGGTTGACACAATGACTTCCAATTACTCTGTCATATGCAGATCCAATACGAAAGTTTAGCTTGTTGGAGCCTCTTCCATTCTGCAGTAGCTGTCGGCTCTGATCAACAAACCATTCATATGTTCTACATAAATGCATGTTCAACCTTCATTACCTTCAGCACCCTTGCTTTCGCAACAAAGAACCTGGCGAATATAATCTCCGGTAAGGTCCCTTGGTAGGAGTTCAAAGTAACTTTTGAGAGAATAGTAAGCTTGCACGTGCAACACATATTATTATCAAAGTTTTCGATTTTTTTAGGTAATCAAAGTTTTAGATAGCCGGCTATACCATCGATATAGCCCCGCTATAGCGGTTTGAGCAGGATGACATTCATGCACATATATCAAGTAAAGTTATGAAATAGTCGATTATAGCCATGGTGTGGCTAATTTTGAAGACCATCGCTATTTGGCGTAGCCCACTATTTAAAACTATAATAATTATGTGAAAAAATCGAAGGTCACCCTAGAATAAAAACATATCAGTAGGGGGGCAGCCCCAGTGCATGTAGCTCCCGCTTGCGCAAGGTCTGGGGAAGGGTCCGACCACTTTGGGTCTATTGTACGCAGCCTTTCCCTACATTTCTGTAAGAGGCTGTTTCCAGGACTTGAACCCGTGACCTCATGGTCACAAGGCAGCAGCTTTACCACTGCGCCAAGGCTCCCCTTCAAAAACATATCAGTAAAATAAACAAAAATGTAATAAAATGCAATGAACATATTTGTTATCACTTTGTATCAACCATGAGTAGACCGACTATGTTTGAGAGATATTAGAAAAAAACTATCCTGGTTCTCTTGATCAAACCCTGACGAAGCTATGCCAGGCAAGCTATGTTGGTCTTCTTTTTATCGCTTTGTGAGCTGAGTCGATGGGGAAGCGAATAGTTGTTTAGGATGCAAAAGGATTTTGTCTAATCCAAGGTGAATTTTTTTATTAAAAGATGCTCAGGAGCAATTAGATTTAGGCACCAGTTTCCTCCCATATTTTTTAGCGTCAGGTTGGGAAACTTCGCCAAGAGTTTCAGGACTTACTTTTCTTCGGATGAGAAAAAAGTAAAAGTGGAAAATGTAAGTATTTGATGCAAAATGTTATATCACAGAATACAGAAACTTCAGGTGTCTACAAATTAATGTGTTTTTAAAACAAAACACAACATTAGCTATTGATCATAATGTGATAGGAAGCAAACAGGCTGATTTCTTCGCAAAATATTCCAAAGAATGGCATCTTTTTCCTCAGAAAAAAGGAAGGGAAGACTGGAATTGTTATTTTTCCTGCTCTAGAATACTCCCTCTGTTCCAAAATAGATGACCTAACTTTATACTAACTTTAGTACAAAGTTGGGTCATCTATTTTGGAACGGAGGGAGTAACTAATAGTAATATTCCATGATACAGATGAACTCGACTGACCAAGATCACACATTTTGACATAAATGATAGTATGTACACCAGAATTTCAACAAAACAGTAGGTAGCAACTCAAAGAGATTCAGATGTTTCTTCATGCACTTTCTCTTGAACTCACACATGTCTTCTCTTTGTATACCATCAGTGCTCCGAGGAACTTAAGCCATCAGATTGAGGCCTAGGCAGACGTTGTGCACGACCTAAATGAGAGAACAACAAGCCTAGAGAAGCATGAGGAGCCAATCCACCACCTAAATCGATGGTGCCAAAGTGTTTGAGAAGCCTTGTGATCAGCACACCGGCAACGTACAATATCCGGGACAAGCTCACGGCGATGGTCAGGTAGTAAATTAGAGTCTTGAAGTATGGCATGGCTCTTCTGTGGACATGCACGTCCCGAGCGCAAGCAGCGCGATGCAGGCGAGCGAAGCATCGGCGACATTCATCATCTTGTTCTCCCCGTCATTGCTCTCACGGAACGACAACCCACAGAGCACTGGTGGAAGTGACCCAAAGACCATGTGTGACAGTAGTGCTAGGACCATGTGGAGCCGGGCTTTCGACCACCTCCTGAGCTTGAGCCAATAGTGGCCGACGTTCTCATTTTTCCCTCGTTCATGTCTCGGATGTCTCTATGATCAGCAATCTGGTATCCACAAGAAAATGATATGTTAGTTTTTGTAGTTTTGGGTTTGAGTTTTTCATAATGTTCAGTAAAATAATTTGAAAATTCACACAGGAGAGAAGTTTGTTACATTCTGAAAAATGAGAGTCGGTCCACCAATAAGGTTGGCTATGCCCAAGATGGAAGTAACTGACATGTTTTGGCGCCGCTTGATGCTGTTGTTCAAACAACGGAGAGGCTGGTGACTGACTCCACTAAGCCTCAATATACTGTGGCTTTTAGTATATCCCAATCATCCCTCTGTTGTTGCCTAGGAGCAGACGGATTCACATCTTCAGAGACTGACAACACTACATCTGTTGCTTGAGGAATCCGAGAAAGTAGTGGCGGATCTAGGATTTGAAATCAGGGTGGTCCTAAAAAAATAAATTTGACAACAAATATGACATGTGAACGTTCAAAATAATTACCAAGACCACATATAAATATATCAATATGGTCTTCCAAATACTTAAATTCTCAGTTTTGCAAGAATTCTGCAATAAGAATTTATTCTCAATCATTAAGGATAATTTGGGCATAAATGATGTGCAAAATTATGTATGTGTTCGGTTCATGTACTGGATAGCATATCATAGCAAAAAAACCTAAATCAAAAATCGGGAATGGAAATTGGGTATCCCGATACCTCAAATCGGGTTAACTGGGGCTGGAACACAGGTTGCTAATTTAACGCCACCGGACTGGTGACTTGGCGGCTGCCGTCGTCTTTGTAGGTGTGCCAGGCGGCCGGGGGTACCGGCGAAGCTGCGCAGGGCAGGGCCGCCACAGTTCGCAGGGGGCGCGGTTGGCGCGGGCGGAAAGGAGGCGAGAGCAGGATGCCTCCTGGGCGACGACCAGCGACCAGCGACAAAAGACGAGGCAGCGGGGATGGGACGGCTGAGCGGGTGGGTGTCGGGGAGACGGGGATGCGAACCAACCAGAAAGAACCATGTGGTGTGTGTGCTGTGTACGAGGGTCAAATATGTAATTGGGCTTATTTTTCTTTGGTCATCTCAACATGCTGCCTAGGTGTATATAGCCTAGTCTGAAATTCCAGGGTGGGCCGCGGACCACCCTGTCCACCCTCTGCCTCCGCCCCTGCGAGAAAGTATGTCACCCCTTTGGATGATACCTAGTATAGGGAAAAAAACTCGGTGATCAGATATACAAGATACATTTAGACGACACAGAAAAGAGAGGCAACAAGTTTCACAGAATTGGTTGCTCTCAGAGTTTTGTTTGTTCAGTACATGCATGTAAACTTATCTTGATTAACTTACTGATGATGGGCATTATGGATCTGTGGAATAATAAATCTAAAAGGAAAGTACTTTGGCCTGGTATGATATGTGTCACAATTGGGCTGAAAAATGAGCCATTCTCTGCAATACCGTGAGCATCTAAGCAAATGAAGTTACTACTGTCAGACTGCATCCCTGAATAACAGTATGTAGCTCATTCATGCATTCTGATCACTTAATCGGACCTACATTTCTTTGCCTACTTTGGCAGTGTACAACTAAATGCCTGAAGCTACCACGACACAGTCAACAAACAGAACTCGCAAGTACTTTTTCTACACTTAATTAGCAGATGGTTTTGAATACAAAATGCAGGTAACGGTGCAAATAGGATCTAAAATTCAGGAAAGTAGTCAAAAGATTTATGTAGCAAATTGTACAAGTAGCAGGAAGAAACAAATTAAATGTAAATAAAGAATAGCTTACCTTGAGTATAGGATTTTCCTAAGAAGGCAGGCGAGATAAACACGATATGTATACTCGGTACACCCTAGATGAATCAACAACCTAACAACAACAGCAAAAGAACACATTGGATTCACAAATCATCTATTCTAGCAATCCATGAATCCAAAATTTGAATGATCTCTTGAGGATAATGACAACAACAGCAAAAGCGCACATTAGAATCGCACACCACAAACTGACAAATAGGGCTAATTAGTTTACCAAATCCAATACACTTAAGTAAGTGTCAAAAAAATCTGCTTCTCAGATAGTAGTGTCATACAACAAACTACGGAATTTAGTACATCTCTGGAATCGGGACAAAGTCTCATAACCTAAAATGGGCTTCGGTCTCATTATTCATGGATGAACACTTCTATCGCATTGACGATTAGTATAATACTGAGTACCTGTCAGATAGTAGTGTCGCAGAACAAATGGTTGTTGTCTCTTTCCAATCAAACGTATGAGTAAATTGCTTGAGAGATACAGTTAGTTGCTTGCTCAACAACAAAAGGGAAACCATATAGCATAGAGTCAGTTGCTTTCTATGAAACAAAAGGGAAACAAAAAGAAATCCATCTCACAGCTTACTGCTTGAATAATCTTGAGAACATGAGGAGCCTTTAGTGTGAAGATCCTTCACAAGGGCCCACCGAAACATACAAAGATCATCAGGGCCATCTAGTACTGGCGCAAAACATTATCATGTGAAAGTACTCTAAATCTTACATGTTGCGTTTCTTCAATACAGTAATTGGTCCACTTTTATCATCAATTGTATCAAATTGGTCCTTCAGATCAGCTAAATTTTCCTCATTGATTGCACTTGCCAATGCTTGAATAGGCAATGTTGCACAAAGAAACCAAATGAGACTACACAACAAAAGGACGGTGTGGTGTTTTTAGGAGAAATGGTTCAATGCAAAGGTCATATTATTACATGGAGTAATAACAACAAGAAGGTTCTAGCAGTCTACTCCATGGAGTAACCACAATAATAACATCCACTGGAGAGTGGTTGCGTAGGGAGTGAGAGGCAAGCCTGAAAGTGTGTTGCCAAGGCACGGTGGTGTCCTTGCAAGGTTGTGGCTAGCATTCGTCTATTCAGACAATGCTTATTAATTGATGTACATATAATTAGATAAAAGAGCATACTTCTTAGGAACTATATTCATTCTGTGAATGGCAGTGTGAATCTCTGTCATTAAAAAGGAGCAGCCTGAAATATTATTTGTGGGCATAAAGCTCTCTTGCACATTTCTTTTGTTGTATTGTCCAGAACCAATTGGGCAGTCCCTAATGCTGAAAGGATTATAGGTGGCAAAAAACCCTGGAGGTAACAACCTTTGTTGTGAAAGTACTTGCTTTATTCTCAGTGCGGAAGTGCTAAAGTATGGAGAAAATCCTAGTATACCATGAGTTATTGGTTCCTTATCAGACTGAAGAAAGCATTCACACATCCAAGATGTCTGTTAGATTGTTAACATAGAATCAATTCAGTTAAGATTACTCCTTTCTGTTGATATAATTAGATAAAAGAGAATACTGGTTATGAACTACTCCCTCCGTTCTAAAATAGATGACTCAATTTTGTACTAACTTTAGTAAAAAGTTAGTATAAAGTTGGGTCATCCATTTTGGAATGGAGGGAGTATATTCGTAATATGAATGACTGTGTGAATCTCTCGGCAGAATTATGAAGAGAATATTGGTTAGGAACCAAGTTTAAAAGTGAACCTCGCATATGATAATATTGCTATTATTCTTTTCTTCTTCTTCATTTCCATTTTTTCATCATCTTGTAAGTGCGTGAACTGAACAACCAAATCAGATTTAAGTAGAAATAGAACAATAGAGGGGTTGGGTGCCATCCAGTTTTAAAAATCAAGAACTAGAATTTGCAAAAACTGGAATTTACCTAGCGATGTTGGATGTCGTCCAGCGGAGGAGATGGAGGAGCATGTCCTAATGTCCCAATGGAAAATCCTTGGCCTCTCATGTCCTTCTACCAAACACGTAAGAAGTCCTCAAATCATCTCCAATTGGCATGTCAATCAACATGTTCTTGGCTTTGCAAGTCCTGACCGTCACAAAATAAAATTCAAAGAGAAAATAGACGGGAACATGAGTTATACCATTGACAGAAGATGCTTGGGAGGGCCAGTGCAGCACAGCGAGCTGGCATTGCACGTCGGCAACAGCAAGGGCGCGTCCACCAGCCGCGAGAGCCGAACTGGTCGGGCGCCGCGGGGCAGCGCGCCGCTGGGCGGTCGAGCCATTGTGGTGGGTGGCGGGGGCTCATACGCGGGGACGTGGATTTCCTTCTCCCCTGATTAACTCCCATCCATGGAGCGGCAGTAGAGGTGGCGGCTGCGGGAGGACCAGGCGGCGGCAGGGCGGTGAACCGCATGGGAGGATCAGCGGCGGAGGCTGCGGGAGGACCTTGGGCGGCGGGGCAGCAAACCGCGCGGGAGGCTGCGGGAGGATCATCGAACGGGCGGCCCGCCCATGCTGTGGCGTCGGATGGGAGGAGGAGGGGAGTGGGCGAGAGGGCGTGCGGGCTTGTGGGTGAGAGGTCGTGCGGGTGTTGTTGGCAGTTTTTTTCTTTTTCGAACGGCCGTCAAGGTTAGCGATCAATAGATTGGTGGCTTAATACTGTGTGGTTTGCAGTGTTAAACACCTGAGGATTAGAGACCATTAGATCTTGTATATGGATGGGTTAGATTGTTTGAATCTGCCATCTCTCTTTCTTTTATAGTGGTAGTAGATAGTAGATGAAGATCTAGGCATTCGATGTGATTGTTGTTATATTGTATCACATTATCCACCAACGGGCCTATTATTATCTGCAAAAGAAGAGAACAGGCTAGTGCCTACGTGCAGTTTGAACACTACTACATGCCTATTTGGTTTGTAGAATTAAAATGCACCAACGTGCCATCTTCGATCTGACATGATTAACATGGATATTTGATTACAATCTAGAAAAATGTAGCCTTCTTCACAAAAGGTTGGAGTGGATGAAAAATTCCCTAGGAAAACTAGTACAGATGAATCCAAAGGAGAAATGCTTATGAATTGTAACCATATGAATCAAGCAACCAATATGGGGTGGGGCGGGGTGGGGGTGTGTGTCTTGAAATCCTCCAAATTTCCTTCAGAAATCGTAGTACATTGTCATTGTAAACATGGGAAAAGGTGTCAAAAATTAAGCTCTCTTATGGTTAAAATTTAACAGGAAAGGAGCATCACCTCGATATACAGCTTCTTTAGGCATGTAAAGTATCTCAGGAAACTGACAACTTGGTCCAGGTTGGGGCCAATAGATTCTAGTGCCAAGACCTTCACTGTGCACAGAATCTGGGTGAAGCTTTTCTGGATGATAGACGAACATACATCTTCAAATTTAGAAATAATTTTGATATCAAGAAGTACAGGTAGAAGACAACCATTGTACCTGAAAGTAGGAGTATTTAACACACGAGCAGCCCACCACTGTCAATTTCGGCACAGAAATGACATTGATTCTTGTTGCACATTGTTGATCAACTAAAAGTAATCTCTCAACTGAAGGTTTGTCCTCAATGACCATATTGTGGTCCACATTTTGTGATCTCTCGTTGCAGCACCAGCAACACACATAAATAGTCTAGAGAGTCCTGAAGGTGATGTAGAAGCTACTCGACCAATTCATCACCTGAAGACGAAGGAACTCAAGTGCAGTACAATCGCGGAGTAGGCACTCCATGTCATCCTTTGGGATGCAGACGGCGACGGGCTCGAGGTGCTTCAGTTGTGGTTGAAAAAGAGCAGGCGCGTCATTAAGGGGGGGTGGTACTTCATAAATTGGCGAGGCGCAGCATGGGCGTGAAGCAGAGCACGGACGTTGGTAGTGAGCGCATATGCCCATCATTAAAACTAAGCTCCTCGAGCTGATCTAGGGCGGGGGATCGGAACCACTCGTCAAGATTGGCTCGGTCCTTACCGTTGGAAAGAACTTGCCCGTGATAAGTCCTCTGATTGGGCCATGATGACTGCCGAGGATCTGGGAGAACACATCCAAGATTTTGCGATAGCCATGGCAGAGCTCGTGGGCGTCGAGGAGGTCGAGAGGGGTGGAGAGCCATAGGGGGCGCCACCGCCGGGAAAGGGCGTTTGTCCTCGTGATACGTCTCCAACGTATCTATAATTTTTGATTGTTCCATGATGTTATATTATCATTCTTAAATGTTTTACAATCATTTTATATCATTTTTTGGTACTAACCTATTGACATAGTGCCCAGTGCCACTTGTTGTTTTCTGCTTGTTTTTTACATCGTAGGAAATTAATACCAAACGGGTCCAAACGCAGCGAAACTTTTTGTGGATTTTTTCTAGCCAGAAGACATCGTATGGGCCAAGAAAGTACCTGAGGGGTGCTTCGAGGGGAGCACAACACACCAGGGTGTGCCTATGGGCCCAGGCACGCCTAGGTGGGTTGTGCCCACCTCAGTGGCCTTCCGCACCGCCTCTTTGCTCTATAATACCCCAATATTCCAGAAACCCTAGGGGAGTCGACGAAAATCAATTCCAACCGCCGCAAGTTCCAGAAACACCAAATCAAATCTAGACACCATCTCGAAGGGGTTCATCATGTCCATTGGTGCCTCTCCGATGATGCATGAGTAGTTCTTTGTAGACCTACAGGTTCGTAATTAGTAACTAGATGGCTTCCTCTCTCTCTCTCTCTCTCTCTCTCTTGATTCTCAATACAATGGTCTCTTGGAGATCCGTATGATGTAAGTCTTCTTGCGGTGTGTTTGTTGGGATCCGATGAACTTTGAGTTTATGATCAGATCTATGTTTTTATCCATGAAATTTTTTTGAGTCTTCTTTGATCTCTTATATGCATGATTGATTATAGCCTTGTATTCCTTCTCTGATATTTGGTTTTTGTTTGGCCAACTTGACCTATTTATCTTGCAATGGGAAGAGGTGCTTTGTGATGGGTTCAATCTTATGGTGCTTGATCCCAGTGACAGAAGGGGAAACAACACGTATGTATCGTTGCTATTAAGGATAGCAAGATGGGGTCTATTCCTACATAAATAGATATTGTCTACATCATGTCATCATTCTTATTGCATTACTTCGTTTTCCCATGAACTTAATACACTAGATGCATGCTGGATAGCGGTCGATGTGTGGAGTAACAGTAGTAGATGCAGGCAGGAGTCGGTCTACTAATCTTGGACGTGATGCCTACATAATGAACATTGCCTCGATATCGTCTTGATTATTTGAAATTCTATCAATTGCCGAACAGTAATTGTTTTCCCACCATTTGCTATTTTCTCGAGAGAAGCCACTAGTGAAACTTACGGCCCTCGTGACTCTTCTTTAATATATTTGCTTTCCCAATCTATTTTCCTTTGCTTTTATTTTCAGTTCTATTAAACCAAAAATACAAAAATACCTTGCTGCACTTTATTTTAATTTGTGATCTATTTATCCTATCTATTACAACTTTATCATGTCTTCTCGCCAATTTCCGGCACCGTTACCAAAAAGGGATTGACAACCCCTTTAACACGTCGGGTTGCGAGTATTTGTTATTTGTGTGCAGGGGATGTTTACGTAGTGTTGCTTTGTTCTCCTACTAGTTCGATAACCTTGGTCTCATCACTTAGGGAAATACCTACCGTCATTGTGCTGCATCATCCTTTCCTCTTTGGGGAAATACGGACGTAGTTCAAGCAGGCATCAAAAGGAATTTCCGGCGCAGTTGCCGGGGAGGATCATCAACATCAACCAGGTTCCTAATCACAAATCTCATCTCCTCATAATTTACATTATTTTCATTCGCCTCTCGTTTTCCGCTCCCCCACTTCACAAAAAAAGTTGCCATTTTATTCGCCCTCTTTTTCGTTCGTCATTTTCTCATTAGATGTGTTTTTGAGTGCAATCTTGTTGCATAGTCACCATGACTCAAGAGAACACCAAGTTGTGTGATTTCTCAAATACCAACAACAATGATTTTATTAGCACTCTGATTGCTCCTCCCGCCACTAGTGCGGAGTCTTGTGATATTAATGACGCTTTGCTGAATCTTGTTATGAAAGATCAATTTGCCGATACTCCTAATGAGGATGCCTCGTCCCATCTTAACACATTCGTGGAATTATGTGATATGCAAAAGAAAAAAGATGTGGACAATGTTGTTGTGAAGTTGAAATTACTTCCGTTTTCTTTGCGAGATTGCGTAAAAATTTGGTTTTCTTCTTTGCCTCACAATAGTATCAATTCTTGGAACAAGCGCAAGGATGCTTTTATTACTAAGTATTTTCCGCTCGCAAATATCATTTCCCCTAGAACACAGATCATAAATTTCAAGCAACTTGAACATGAGCATGTTGCACAATCTTGGGAAAGGATGAAATTGATGCTAAGGAATTGCCCAACTCATGGGTTTAATCTTT